CACCTCGGCCTCCCAAGGCGCTGGATAACAGGGTGAGCCACCGAGCCGGCCAGCATTTTCCATATGCAAAATATGTCTGGATAGCCAGAATCGGCTGATTTTCATTCCAAAGTGGAGGGTGTTGAGTGGAGGGATGGAATGTGGAGCCAGAGCCAGAGGTCCCTGAAGGGTTTGTATGGAGATTTGAGGTTTTTTGTCAAGTTCCTCAACATATTCGTAATTCCTTTTTCCCTTTTAGAAAATATGAGTGGGATTTATCCCCGCCCTACTTACAAAAAGCCTCTGAATGTTTTGAGGTGATGCTTATAAAACCTCTAGTAGCAAAGCAGGGTCCTGTATAGTCTCAGTGTCATAATCAAGAGTGAGAAATAAACTTATATCATGCTAGATGAGCTCTACTAAAAAAACTAGATCAAGGAAAGGTCTTTTGTCTTTCAGAAGGTCTTACATCTAAAACATGCCTTTGTTTGTGTTACTGCAGGTCCAGAAGAGGAATTTCATAGAAAATATTATCCCAATTATCGTCTCCCTGAAGACTGTGCTGGAGAAAAATAAGCTCCCAGCTTTGCGGGAACTTATGAACTATCTCAGGGTCAGTGATAAGCTGTGTTTTCGTGGTTGTCCCTGGCCCCTCCCTCCACCCACCCCCTTCCCAGCTTGTTACTGAGGCTTTTCTGCCATTAATGATGGTGCAGGCACTTGTTGGCTGATGAAGAGTCCAAACTGGTACAAATTCAGCATTCCCATGGTTTATATGGAGAGACACTTGCAGAAAGGTCTGGGATTGTTGTGGAGAAGATTGGGATTTGACCATAGGTTCCGCTGAAGCTGTGCAGCTGGACTTGTGAGAAGCTTGCTCACTGTGCTGAGCTGGGTATGTCCTTGATGGGATTAGATTCCATTTTGGAAACTTTCTTTTTTTTTTTCTGAGTCAAAGTCTCACTCTGTCACCCGGGCTGGAATGCAGTGGCACACTCACAGCCACCACAGCCTCACCTGCTGGGCTCAGGTGATCCTCCCACCTCAGCCTTCTAAGTAACTGGAACTACAGGCATGTGCTACCACACCCGGCTATTTTTTTTTTTCAATTGTAGAGACAAGTCTTGCCAAATTGCCCAGGCTGGTTTCAAACCCCCAGGCTCAGGCAATCCTCTTGCCTCAGCTTCCCAAAGTGCTGGAATTACAGGCTTGAGCCACCGCACCTGACCTTGGAGACTTTCTTAACTGGAGATAAGAGCAAAGTCATCATCTTAATTCAGTATGGTGAGGGGCAAAGTGAAAACTAGTTATTGTGTTTAATTTTGAGGTATTTACCTTTGGCGCTGTTTTCTGTTGACATGATCAGGAAATAACTGCCCTGTAACCGCTGCCTTGGGGGCTGCTGTCACCAGACTGGATTCTTTGTGCAGCTGGGGGACTGTAAGAGGGCTGTCTGAGCAAAGCCAGGATGGGTTGACTTGCATTGCAAACCTAAGTAAGGCCTCAGACCTTTCTGGCAAATCTTTTACTCGGAAATAAATGCAACATATTTTTTCTTTCTCAAAAACATGCTATGGACTTTTGTTCCCAAAAAAACTACAACAGGCCAGGCACAATGGCTCAAGCCTGTAATCCCAGCACTTTGGGAGGCCAAGGTGAGAGAATTGCCTGAGTTCAGGGGTTCGAGACCAGCCTGAGCAACATGGCAAGACCTCGTCTCTACAATAAATCAAAAAATTAGCTGGGCGTGGTGGCACTTGCCTGTGGTTCCAGCTACTTGGAAGGCTGAAGTGGAAGATCACCTGAGCCCAGCAGGTGGAGGCTATGGTGAGTGTGCCATTGCACTCCAGTCTGGGCGACAGAGTGAGATTCTGACTCAAAAAAAAAAACTACAACAAAATTACATTGATTATAAATTTTCAAGTAGGTTTTATCCTAGGAAGCTAAGGTAGAAAAGATAGGCTATTGTTTGGCAAAAATAAGAACTTACAATTCTTATATTTTTATTGACTATTGACCTGTTTTAGTCCTCAGAAAGGGAGGGGAAAAGAGCTTAGATCCTAAATAGACTACTTAAACACTTAAGGGAATCAAGTGTTTCTCCTGTTTGTGAGCACATGTCCGGTGGATGACCCACACGGTTGCTTGCTGTCAGTAGTTACAGTGATTCTCTCCTTTGGCCTGTGGAACCTCACTTTGAATGGCAGGGAAGAGTCAATAGATTTCCTTCTGTTTGTTGATGCTTCCCTTCTAGTTGGAGCTGCAGTATATATATTTTTTTCTTTCTCTAATACTGTTAGGTGAAATGATTTGTTTTTCTTAGCAAAGTTGCCTTGTTCTTTAGCAGCCCTCTTTAAGACCTAAGACTAGCCGGGCTTGGTGGCTCAGCCTGTAATCCCGCGCTTTGGGAGACTGAGGTGAGTGGATCGCCTGAGCCCGCGGGTCCGAGACCCGCCTGGGCAACTTGGCCAGACCTCATCTCTACAATAAATCAAAAAAGTTAGCCGGGCGTGGTAGCATGCGCCTGTAGTTCCAGCTACTTGGAAGGCTGAGGCGGAAGGATCGCCGGAGCCCAGCAGGTCGAGGTTGCGGTGGCCGGGAGCGGCCATTGCACTCCAGTCTGGGTAACAGAGTGAGACTCCAACTCAAAAAAAAAAAAAAAAAGACCTAAGGCTGTTCTTACCTAGCTATGACAAAAGATTTTCTGTAAAATCTTTAGGAGAGGACGTAAGGATAGAATTAGAGCCTTACTTTTAATCGTGAGAGAAAAGCTAATGTAGACAGATGAGCAACTTTAGACTGCTCAACTTCCTGGGACTTGTCCCAGAGGAACATTTCTCCTGTCATGAACTTAGGAGATTACCCGTTAACTGGCAGACAGGAAGCTTCCTAAGAGGTCTTCCTATTAGCTAATATCTCACATGCTCGCCTGCTTTTGAGGTCAATATAAGCACAGTTGGTGTTTCCTCAGAATATGCCATTGTTTCTGTTAGTTAATGTAACAGAACTAGTCTGCTTTCAGTATTACAGATCTTATTGTTTCTATTACTATTTTATCAAGTCGTGTTGGAGAGCTTCTTTTTTAATTTAAGAAAACATTACAGAATGTTTCTGGGTCTGTTTCAGGAGGTAATGCAGGATTACCGAGATGAAGTCAAGGAGTTCTTTGCAGTTGATAAACAGCTGGCATCAGAACTTGAGTATGACATGAAAAGGTACAATGAACAGCTGGCCCAGGAACAAGAACTGGCGAAACATGCAGATGGTATCCAGGTGGCTGGAAGCGCCAATGCTGCCCCAGCAGTGCAGGTATGTGTGAGGCCACCTTCAGTGGTACTCGACTGTTTAGTCTGCTCTCTGCTGACAGTTTGTCCAACATTTCTCAAAATCCACATATAAGCAGAGGTTAGTCAGAGTTAGACCTTCGAGATTGCTGCTTTTTGGCCTCTACGATGTGCCTTTGTTATATGTGGTAGAGACACCAGCAGCATGGGGCCTCCCTTCCCACAAGGCTGTGGCAAGGAACTTGTTTGGAGAATCATTGTGTTAACAACTGGGAGAACGTATGAGTGCCAGAAAGCAAGCTGGCAGCAGGGTTATTTGATCTTTGGTCACAGTAGTTGTCTACCTAGATCTGCCTGGGTGTTTCCTTGTTTGAGGTCTTCTTCCCAGAACTCTCCTCTTTAAAGCAGATCGTTCCCAGGGTCATTTCTAGGATAAGCTGCTGCTCATAATCAGAAGCACAATATTCTCACTGCCTTGAGGAATACAGACAGATCTGTTCTTCTAAAAAGAGATGAGAACAAACTGGCTTGCTCCTTTTTCTCTCCTTAATGCTACAACATCTACAGGTGTCAGTGTTCTATTTCTGAAATTTCTAATAGTATTCTATTTCTGAAGATGAAGTTTGCTTTGCCTATGGCTGATATGGTGTTATACACTAGGTGACTTATGGAACTGTTCATGATATGTGAAGATTCTACTCCCCAAAAAAAAGTGTTAAGCAGAGAAAGGAAAATGCTTATACACTGTTGGTGGGTGTAAATTACTACAGCCACTATGGAAAACAGTATGAAGTTCCTCAAAAACTAAAAATAGAACTCCCATGTGATCTAGAAATCCCAATGCTGGGGATATTTCCAAAAGAAAGGAAATCAGGGTATCAAAGAGATGTCTGCACTCCCATATTTACAACAGCACTGTTCACAGTAGCCAAGAAATGGAATCAGCCTAAGTGTCCATCAACAGGTGAATGGTATACATATACAGTGGAATATTATTCAGCCATAAAAAATGAAATCCTGTCATTTGCTACAAGATAGATGAACCTAGAGGATATTATGTTAAGAAAAACACATATTGTATGTTTTCACTTATATGAGGGAGCTTAAAAAGTGGGTCTCATTGAGGTAGGGAGTAGGATGATAGATACCAGAGGTGGAGAAAGGGGGAAGAGAAGGGGAGGGGAGATGAAGAGAAGTTGGGTACAAAAATATAGTTAGATAGAAGGAATGAGGTCTAGTATTCAGAAAGATTTATAGTTTAACAATAAGTAATTGTACATTTCAAAATAGCTAGAAAAGAATTGGAATATTGCCAACACAAAGAAAAGATAAATGTTTGAAGTAATGGAGATTCCAGTTACCCTGATGTGATCAGTACACATTGTATGCTTGTATCAAAATGTCTCACATACCCCAAAATATGTACAACTACTATATTTCAACTTAAAAATTTTTTAAACACTTTTTAAAAAAGCATTAGAAGATAAATGCTTTATTATCTCTTCTAACAGGTTGTTCCATGTTTAGAAATCATGGCAGTTCCTGCTGATCAAGGAAATCCCACCACATCCCCTGCTGTAAACCTGCCCCCTATACCCGGTCCAAGCACTGGCCTTGCACCAACTTTGTCTCCTGTACCCAAAACTGGGCCGTTGAAGAGGTTGATGCCCGAAACCAGGTAGACAGCCCACAGAGTTTGTACCAGGGCTATTTCTCTAATGCTGTTCCTAGAGGTATCCCTGCCATCCCCACCAGGCTTTGACAGGAAGGCATCATTGCGTGTCTGCCCTGCTGCCTTACTGCACACTCTGCCCTGGCAGGTGTGACGAGTGCAGATGAGGGATGCACTTAGGAGGGAGTGGGTGGTGAGGCCATGCTTCACTGTCATTCTACAGGGGTCTACAGTGCAAAAATCCATGTCTGTCGTATGTTCCCCTCCACAGGCGCATGTCCCTGAGCACCATTGCAATACTGAATTCTGTCAAGAAAGCTGTGGAGTCGAATAGCGGGCGTCAGACTCGGAGCTTGGGAGTGCTACCTTTCGCTTTAAATTCTGGAAGTTCAGAAACAGTGGCCAATCAGGGTAAGCCTTGAGTTTAGCACCAGACATAGTGACAGCGTACGGATCAAAAAAACAGAGCAAGCCTGCTTTTCATTCCTTTTAAAATGGGTTCTGTTTTCTTATCTTTTTTTTTTTTTGAGTTGGAGTCTCACTCTGTCGCCCAGACTGGAGTGCAGTGACACACTCCCGGCCACCGCAGCCTCAACCTGCTGGGCTCTGGCGATCCTTCCAAGTAGCTGGAACTACAGGCGCGCACTACCATGCCCGGCTAATTTTTTTTTTTTTTTTTTTTTTATTGTAAAGATGAAATCTCGCCAAGTTGCCCAGGCGGGTCTCGAACCTGCGGACTCAGGCAATCCACTCACCTCAGCCTCCTGAAGTGTGGGATTGCAGGCTGAGCCACCGAGCCCAGCTTTGTTTTCTTATCTTTAAGATGAATAACATTTGGGCATTTAGGATTATAGATAATAAAACAGTGCATATTGTTGCTAAAAGATTTGGAAAATAGAGTGAAATATGAAACCCACCCATTCCTCCTGCCATTCTTTTCCTCACACATCCACATAATGTAGTAGAAATTTTTCCATAAACTTCTCTTTCAAAACTCTTCTTCCAGTGACTTTATAGCATTCCATCTGTGGAAATACCAAAACTTGTTTATTACTACCCTACTCTTGGGAATGTCAATGTTTTTTAATATTTGTGTATAAGTAATGTCACACTAATCATTCTTATACATATCGCCCTGTATGTATGCAATACCTAGGATTAATTCCCAGCAGTCAAAGACCATGAATATTTTTTAAATAGTGTCAAAGTGTCCTCCATAACTCATGCCAGGTGATATTGTTTCAGGAGTGTTCCTTTTCCTACTTAAAAACACTGATTTTATAATTTCCCATTGTCTTTACTGAGCTTTATAGACTAAAACTGATATGGTTTTAATTTTCATTGTTTTATATCCTAATAAGAATGGACATTTTTCCTTATGCTCATCATTTATTTGTGTTTGTTTGTTTGTTTTTGGAGTTGGAAGCTCACTCTGTCAGCCAGGCTGGAGTACAGTGGCATGCTTATGACTGCTGCAACCTCCACCTGCTGAGCTCAGGCGATCCTTCTACCTCAGCCTTCCAGGTAGCTGGAACTATAGACACATGCCATCACGCCTGGCTAATTTTTTTAATTTTATTGTAGAGATGAGGTCTCATCAAGTAGCCCGGGCTGATGTTAAACTCCTAGACTCAGGCAATCCTCTTTCCTCCACCTCCCAAAGTGCTGGGATTACAGGCATGAGCTACCACGCCTGGCCATTTATTTGTATTTCTTTCTGATTTGCGTCTTTATAAGAATACTTTAAGTACTAGCGATTTCAACTTTATCATTGTTTTAGCCCTTTTTATGTTGCTATAAAGAAGTACCTGAGGCTGGGTAATTTATATAGAAAAGAGGTTCATCTTGGCTCACAGTTCTTTTTGAAGCTGGCATTAGTTAGGCTTCTGGTGAGTCCTCAGGAAGCTTACAATCATGGCAGAAGGCAGAAAGGGAACAGGCTTGTAACATGTCCAGAACAGAAGCAAAAGAGAAAAAAGGAAGTACCTGACTCTTTTAAACAACCTGGTCTTGCATGAACTAATAAAGCAAGAACTCACTGTTATAACGGCCCCAAGCCATTCATGAGGGATCTGCCACTATGACCCAAGCACCTCCCACTAGGCCCAACCTCCAATATTAGGGATCACATTTCAACATATTTGGAGGGGACAACAAACTTCCAAATTATATCAATCATATATCTTGCATATGTTGTTCTCATTTTGTCATTTTGTTCTTGATATTGTTTGGGAGTTTTTTTGGACAGATAAAACTTTTCCATTCTATCCTAGCATCTTCATGCAGCTTGGAGCAAGAGTCTACTGAAGCTATTGACCATATAGCTAAACGAGCGATCAGTACCCCCAAGAGTAAGTAACTAATTTTTAAAAAAGTTGGCTTCTGTTCAGTCTCTCCTGGTCTTTATGTATTTGCTAATCTCTATATTTGTAGTAAAAATCTTTCTGTTGCAAAATAGTTCTTTTAATTGGATAAAGGCTCTCCTGATGGGCAATAATATTATAGTACATTATTCACAATGAGTGTTTCGTGGTGCTCATAGTAACTGGATTTATTGAGTACTTTCTGAATGTCAAGCACTCTTCCCCAATGTCTTTATTTGCATGAGATCAGTTAAACTTCACAGCGACCTGCAAGGGACCCTCGTGTGACAAGTGATGAAACTGAGGTCCAGATTGGCTAGGTAACACCGGGACAGTGCATTCTGGAGGCAGCCCCTCCCCTGCGCTTCCCTGTGGTCCAGGGGCACTTGGTGCTGCTGAGTGGGTCTTTGTGGGTAGGCAGATGTCAGCACCAGCAGGTGCCTTGTTCACTCCAGAGCAGACTGAGACAGAGATGAAGAGGTATGCTGAGGGTTACGCTGCTGGCTGTGCCCAGAGCCTGTCTTCTCACTCCCCTGGTGTTTCTTTTCCTTTCGTTTCAATATAAAAATGAATGAGAAGAGTAGAATATTTTTTCCCAGTGTTTTGTTTTATAGTTTCTTGTTGCCTCACACCTCATAAAAACTATTACTTGAGGGAAAAACATCATGGTCTGAAGAATGTCTTACTGCCCCAAATCTGTGGTGTGGTTTCCAAGGTTGTGGCCCTGTGTGCCCCTTACTCTCCACATCCCAGCATGCTCTGGTCCTCTCAAGGCACCTGCCTCAAGCCATGCTCGTCTCCGACTCAGTTCTCACATACCATGTCCATGTCGGGCTTGCCCCATCCCTGACCCTCCATGCTAGGGTAGGCACCCTCCCACCCCCATGATACTGACCTCATGGTACTCACTACGCCCCTGCACTTCCTGTCTGCCCTGCTGTTCACTGTAGTTGCTGCACTCCTCACCTCTCCAGAGGGCCTCCCACAGTGCCTAGAACTGGATAGGTGTCAGAGAGAGTTCCTGCTTGGCTAGCTGGGGGGAGATCTGGCAGCTGGTCAAGCCTTCTGACCCTAGTTTCAGTGCCCTTCCCTGGCCTCTCTCACAGTCCTGCTTGAGCTTTACAAGATGAGAGTCCAGCTAAGGCGTTCTTCGTGGGAATAGAGCAGCAAGGTGTCATGCCATTTGTTTAGTCACACCTTCAGGCAGTTCACATTTATTGAGCAGCTACTGTGTTCTAGCTGCTTGCTTCTTGATTCTGTTACCTGTGATCTCCTAGAATCTTTACTGTTATAGATAATTTTCATCCAAGTTCCCTTTTTATGGGAGATTATCCTACCCCACCTCTCCTCAGACAATAGCTGAATCATAACAGCTTTTGTCATTAAAGTCAGTGGGTATTCTGGGTTCCTGTATATTGAACAGGTGTAATGTTCTATATGTAAAGCGTCAGCCTCTTTTAAACAGCAGTTTGCTGTGTGTTCTGTGTTCCTGGCTCAGGAGCACCAAGTGCTTCTATTTTGGCAGTGAAGTACCATATGCTGAAGAAACAGGGAGAACACATCTCATGGAGCTGTGCTCTTGCCATGCGTCCCTGATGTCAGTCTCAGGCTGGTTTCTTAGCAGTCTGTGTTCCTCAGCAGTGCAGCCTAGTGAGGCAGTTCATGCCGCACCATTTACATATGGAACTGCCTTTGCATGGGGAGTAGGCCTTGGGCATCACCCATCAGTGGATACTCATTCTTGCCCTGCCTTCTTTTTTTGTTTTTGTTTTTGTTTTTTTGAGTTGGAGTCTCACTCTGTCACCCAGACTGGAGTGCAGTGGCCGCTCCCGGCCACCGCAGCCTCGACCCGCTGGGCTCCGGCGATCCTTCCGCCTCAACCTTCCAAGTAGCTGGAACTACAGGCATGCGCTACCACGCCCGGCTCATTTTGATTTTATTGT